ATTTGGGGAGGAAAAAACCCTAAAATTTCAAATTTGGGAAGGAAAACCCCCAAAATTTGGAGTTTGGGGAGGAAAAAGCCCCAAAATTTGGGGTTTGGGGAGGAAAAACTTCCAAAATTTGGGGAGGAAAAAAACCCCAAAATTTCAAATTTGGGAAGGAAAACCCCCAAACTTTGGAGTTTGGGGAGGAAAAATCCCTAAAATTTGGGGTTTGGGGAGGAAAAACTTCCAAAATTTGGAGTTTGGGGAGGAAAAATCCCCCAAATTTGCATCTGGGAACTACAAAATTCGGATTTTGGGGAAGGGGACCCCAAATTTGGAGTTTGGGGAGGAAAACCCCCCAAAATTTGGAGTTTGGGGAGGAAAAATCCCCAAAATTTGGAGTTTGGGGAGGACAAAACCACAAAATTTGGGGAGGAAAAAACCCTAAAATTTCAAATTTGGGAAGGAAAACCCCCAAAATTTGGAGTTTGGGGAGGAAAAAGCCCCAAAATTTGGGGTTTGGGGAGGAAAAACTTCCAAAATTTGGGGAGGAAAAAAACCCCAAAATTTCAAATTTGGGAAGGAAAACCCCCAAACTTTGGAGTTTGGGGAGGAAAAATCCCTAAAATTTGGGGTTTGGGGAGGAAAAACTTCCAAAATTTGGAGTTTGGGGAGGAAAAATCCCCCAAATTTGCATCTGGGAACTACAAAATTCGGATTTTGGGGAAGGGGACCCCAAATTTGGAGTTTGGGGAGGAAAACCCCCCAAAATTTGGAGTTTGGGGAGGAAAAATCCCCAAAATTTGGAGTTTGGGGAGGAAAAATCCCCAAAATTTGGGGTTTGGGGAGGAAAAAAATCCCTAAATTTGGAGTTTGGGGAGGCAAAACCTTCAAAATTTGGGGTCTGGGGAGGAAAATCCCCAAAATTTGCATCTGGCAACCACAAAATTCAGATTTTGGGGAAGGGGACCCCAAATTTGGAGTTTGGGGAGGAAAAATCCCCAAAATTTGGGGTTTGGGGAAGAAAAATCCCCAAAATTTGGAGCTTGGGATTCCCAACACTTGGATTTGGGTTTTTTTTTTTGTGGGGGAAACCCCAAAATTGGGATCTGGGAAATGGGGA